TCTAAGAGTATTTAGACATCACTGATTAATGTTGATTCCCTAAAGAGGGTTGATGTCAGGCAGGCGGCCGGTCGTAAAAACAAATAGCCAAAAACTATTCACAACATGTAAGGCAGACCCTGGCTATAGCTAGGAAATTGCCAGGTAGAAGAAGAATATTATTTCGTGCATCTGTTTGCATGAAGGATTGAGACAAAGTATAAAAAATCAAATCATTATTTTACTACATTTAGGACATAGAATCTGTAAGGTCAAAACGAAACAGGTTTGCAAAATGCGGGCACATTCAAGGTTTTTCTTTAGATTCAAGATTAAAAACATTATAACGCTTTTCTGATTCGAAAACATCGCAATTAACAATTAACGAATTTTCAATTTATTCTCACGAAACTTATTTAAAACTAGATTTAAATATAAATACGCTGATAATTATAGTTTATAGTATTGTTTCTTTTTTATTACCATGAAACAACTATTTAGAAATTGTAAATAATCGATTAAAGTCAGTAGAGAAAATCCAATATGGCGGACAACACCTCAAGTCGAACGTTGATAACCTAAATGATAACAGAGTTCATTGTCGTCACTTTCTACATAATATTAATATTAAAAAAAACTCTTTTTATAACTCGCTAATAATAATATGCGGTTTATTAGTTTTCATCGTAAAATTTAACCCAATTAGTTTTCATCGTAAAATTATCTATGGCGTATGTAAAAATATATATCAAGTTAACTATTATGTATATATATTTATTACCATTTGTTCGAATCGCTATAAATAAATGCAGTAGAAAGCGGGAAATAACCTTAAACTCTTCAATAACACAGCTCGTGAACCATGACTGGTTTTTGTCATCAAATTGTACTTGAATCATACGACGTACAGCCAATTACGGAGTTAATAATACTTTTTAATGTAAACTCTTTGGTTTAAACACTATCTATATATGTGAAAGTTACTATAGCAATTAAACACGAGATATATGCTGCATAATTAGTTCTTTAAATCAACTACTGACCTCTAGACCCTTATGTAACTTCTAATAATTAATAATTAATAATCAAGTGACACATAATGTAAGGAAAAATTATATGAGTATCTTATGTATAGAAAATATTTTTTATTAATCCTGACTTGAAACCCTTAACCAAACGAGGTTAAGAGCTGAATACTCGAAATGTGGCGTTAAAAATTATCTGAATACGGAATATAAGTGTTTTAAATTAAATATAAAATAATGAAGTTTGAAATCATTGTGTTTTATATGGAAATGTAGATGAAATATTACTATGTATTTTAAATTACAGAAGATGAACTGAGTATCCTGTAACACTGGTCTTACAAACTAGTATGAGAAAGTAATTTGCTAAATTGCTACATTTACATATTAAACGTTATATTAGTTTTCTTACAAATTATTTTATAATCTTTAAATCTTATCTATGAATGGTATATAAGAAGAAATAAATTTATATGTATGTATTGTATATAAGAGAAATTAGTAAAATCTCCGACAATATTGCGGTTACATTGAAATTAAAACTAAGTATATATGTATGTATCTATTTTGTTTTCTACAACCCGCAGTATATATGACTAGTGAATTCTTATAAAGGTTAATCATGAACGCCACCAGCTTTTTACATAATAATAGAATATTAAATAAATATTCCAATATCATAATTAAATATAAATATATCTCTCCTTCCTTTTTTCATCTGTACCTACACCAGAATTAACACGTAAATTTTTCTGTCAGTGATATGAAATTAACGACAAGTTTTCCCTTAGTAATAATTTTTTGTAAAGTATATTAATAAATAATATATTATATGTGACTAATATTAAGTCTATATATAAAATAACTTACTTAGATCGCTCTGGTAATTTGGTATAGCGCCCATCATTTTGAAGAACTTAGGATATTTTATCCTTTACCACAAACACGAACTTACCTGAAACAAAAAAATATCTTATTATTATTTTATAATACCATAAATTCGTACTTAAATTTAAGCTCTTCATATGTTTTGTACTTTACAAATAGAGCAATTTAAATTTAATTAATACCAAGCGATAATATTTATTAAAGTATTTACAAATACACATAAATAAGTAATTTCAAAAGTACGTAAATAACAAACAAAATAAAAACAATTATTATAAAGAAAATACTTAATTATCTTAGTTTACGTAAACAATGTCTTCAAAGTTAAAAACGTGAAACTATCAGTTCAATAGTAACATTGAAACCTCTAGACTGACTGATAATAACTATTAATTGGTAACAAGACTCAAAATGTTACATCAATTGTAACAATACAAACAATATGGATAGAAAATTCCGTGTTTTCTAAACGAATCATAATTACAAACTATTAGACTGTACGAAAACATAACAATAGTGGTAAGTAGCGATGTTTTGATTATGACTTCAATATGAATTAGTGAGAACATGGAATATGGAAAAATCTACAAAAGGTAGGTAAAAAACCTATCTTCTTCTACCTGGCAATCTCCCAGCTTTAGCCAGGATCTGCCTTACATGTTGTGAATAGTTTTGGCTTTTTTTTTTTCTTTTTGGGTATGCCTTATTCTGTGATGTCTAAATACTCTTAGAAATTACATATGAGTCGGAAAAATCACATTGGTACTTGCCAGGGCCAGGATCGAATCCGCGCCCTCGTGCATGAGAGGCGGGCCTTTTTAACCACTAGGCCACCACTGACTCAAGATAAAATAAAATATACAATCATATACGAGAATAAAAGGGATGAAAAACATTCATTCCCAAAAGATTCCGATTAATAAACTTCAATATTATATCATCCTACATTAAATAACTTCTATAATTTTCTATAAATTCAGTCATTCATAAATAAATCAGTTAAAATCACGAGCCATATTTATTAATACCAATAATGGGACTATCAAACACAATAGACAATTCTTTATATAACAGATATTAACGTTCCTTGCTGATTCGATAACGTTGTTTTTCAATCAGATATTAATAATTAAATCGAAAACACAAAGACTTCGATCATGACATTTTCATTATTAGAATAAAGCGTGGAGCTGTCTCTGGTTGGAATTGAAATTGAATAGTCCATTCGGGCAGCGGATTCAATTAAAACTGGACTATAGCAATGTATGAGAAACGATGAATCACAATTCACATAGGGATTTCACTAACCACGAACTAGGACGACTTTTTTCTTCTATTTTGCTCTAAAACTACAATTATAAGTACTTAAATTTTTATGCTCGGATACAGTAAATACTTCAAACATCCTTAATATTCATTTATTTTAGAAAGATTGTTTATTTCAACGTATTTTTACATATGTATGTTAGTCACGATGTTTCGTAGACAGTAGAGTTTATTGTCCGATTGGTCTCATATAAAGATTTAGACTCGAATTATGCAAATGTCTTTATCTCAAGACGTAAAAAACAAAGTAATTTCATATTGCTTTTGAAATTAAAATATTTTTAGTTCTAGTCATACTTTTATAAAGCTAACGAAAAAGAAAAAAAAATCTGGTTTAAAAAAGAGATCAATAAAAAGAGTTTTCATGTAACACAATTAATAACAATTTTAACATAGATTGATGAGTTTCCAGATATTTGATATACGATAGGGGTGACACGACCTAGTTGATATAAATTATAATGTATTTGTTACTCAACAACGACATACAATGTTATATATAGCGTGTCTTGTTTCTTTCACACGTATAGTATTACTTTGACATATTATTATTTTTTTATTTTTATACGTCATTTAAAAAAACAGCCAGTGTTATTTGAAAATGTCAGTGGATTTAAAATAAAAGAAAGTTTTTTATGTTTTCTATATTTAAATTACATTTATATGCTAAATCTGTTTTGCTTGAAAACTTCACACGGCATTTTAATATAAAATATTTTAATAGTTCTTGTTTTATTATAAAAAAATGATATGATAAAAATTGTTGGCATACAAATGTTGTTTTCAAATAATTAATGAGTATCACGTAAACTTTGTATTCCTTTAAGATCTTCAAACTTGTTTTTCTCTTTCAATTCGTCTTAATTATGCAGTTTTATCAGGGTTGAATTGTTTTTGTGACCAATATAAAATATAAACAGAAAAATAATATATATAAACATAAACTTTCAATAGTTTTTGGACCAATAAATAAAATAATGAATTCTTCACTATACATATACATATATGTTAGTTTTTTAAACTAAACTAACGAAAAATAATACGTAAGAAAATTTAAAGAGAATGCATTTATTAAATTAACTTTTTAAACAAACCTTATCTCTATAAATATCTTACACGAAATAATTAATTAAGTGCAATAAACTCATTAAATGGTCACCAATAATATACTAGTACATTATAATGCTTTTAAAGCTTAAATAGTATTAAATTATTTTCTATATAATTATAGTAAAAAACCGATTCATCTTTATTAGTTAAAGTTAGTTTATCTTTATAAGTTTTAGTTTAAGTTAGTTTTTTTATGTTTTTTAATAGTTTACACGAAGGCATCTAGATTTTACGTTACGTTTTCTTTAGAAGGTTCAGTGATTTTCTAAAATTAACCCCTTTTATTCGATCCTGCACCGCGCCGTCTACAGTCTAGACAGCCTATCTATGTACAGAGTACCTAATACATATATATACATATATATACTTAGGGCTACTATCACCTATCATATGTCATATACTATGTATAAAGAAATGTTATCTGTCCCGTTCTACTTTTCTTACAATGTAAATAGATTATTGAAATGTTTCTTGACCTATCGTTTTTTTATTTTCGTACGCAATAAATTACCTATAAAATAATTATAAATGAAAACTATTGAATGTGGTGAGGAAAATGCGATATGTTTAAGCTATAAACGGACTACTAATCCTTGCACTTGACCGGTTATAAACAAGCACGCTTCAAGCTGTTTCCAAGCTGTCCATCAAACAAGCACAGACCAAGCTTACCGTTTATATGTCTATCAGTTAGATTGTCTTCCTCATCCCACCACGGCTGGTCGTTCAGCCTTCGCGGCTGTCGTTCAAAATTCCCGTAATACTGAAACTCCATCACTGCCACTTCAACGTATACGCTATCTCATTAAATATTATAATTATTTTTCATATCACAGCACAACACACCGCTGCCGGCGTCGACTCTCGCTAATGTTTTGAAACTAAACACATTCAGATAATAATGACATATCTGACACTGTTAAGAGTCACTTGCAGTATACATTCATGGTCACTGATAGCCGAATACAAATACATATAGCCGAATACAAATAGGTATAGCCGAATATAAATATATGTAGCCGAATACAAATAAGTCAACGTGCTACCGTTTTATGAGAACCGCCTGCAACCAATATGAGCTTAGCAAATAAAACAACGGGCTTATATTGAAAAGAGTTTTTTTTTTGGGTAACATAAAATATATTTAATATTGTAATAGTAATAATAATTCATATTGTTTACTCTCTACATTTACATTTTATTTATCTCTCGAGACGATCACGTTTACAGAATAACGTTAATAAAATTAAATGTGGTCATGACTTATAAATATAATAACTTTATTATATATACATATATATAAACATATATACATATTTATATATATAGATGACGGTAGATGTAATGCAGTTTATATCATTTTCAATGAATGGTTCTTATATACATCTATGTATGTGACAATCTGAGAAAATATAACTATTTTGAGACCTGACTTTCGCGAGTATTCATTTAAATGAAACTAATATTCTTCGGATTACTAGGCTTATTTTATTTTTTTAAAAATTACTTACTCCCGACGTCATCTAACTTGCCTGTGATCACGGTTGATGCAAAGTAATCCAAATCTCGGTAGTATGTAGTTTTTTAAAAATAATAAAATACGCGTAGTAATTCGAAAAATATTAGTTTCATTTAATGATTTTGTTACATTAATATTATGTTTATTATCGTGATAATGAATATGGAGAGACTAATGTAGTTGGGAACGTAGAAATTAGTTATTATAATTTAGAAAACGGCAATTTCATAAATCCTGTCATGACTATAGGATAACGATTTTAAATCCTACTAATATTATAATTGCGAAAGTTTGTGAGTGTGTGTGTATGTTTGTTACTTCTTCATGTTCAAACGGCTGAACATTTTGATAAAATTTTGTATACAGGAAGCTGATGTCCAGGAATAACATATAGACTACTTTACATCCCGGAAAATGTTCGACTTTTCCTCATATAAGCGAAAAAGCATATTTACTTACTCGAGAACTCAACTCCTAGCCAAAACGACATGTACCTTTTACCGGTCTATGTAGGCAAGATCGACAGCCAATAAGCATTCCTTTCGTTAAAAAAAAGAGCTATGATAGACAATATCTATAGACAACAGTTTCTTTCTGTAGTTAATTTGTTAAATACTGCCAAACTATTCATGTTAACGTAATTCTTAATTTTTATAACATTTCTGTTGTTTTGTAGTTGTTGGGTATTGCCCCATTTGTGGGCTTTCTTTTATATATTACTAATGCCGAAATTAACGCGGACGAAGTCGCGGGCAAATCTAGTTTATAATAAACGAAGATTGTTTTTATAAATAACTATCTCTTTATATATTCAAAGATTCCATATCTAATATTATTTTTATATAATTAAAACTCTATTGTGTTCTTTGTTTTTTTTTCTTAAAATCTTCATAAATTAAATTGATAATTATAATTATTATAAAGAAATTTCTCAGCTCTTATGTAATTCAACCTATATACTAGTCATTAATTCGTTATTGTTTTTGTAATTAACTAATTAACTTAATAATTTTAATAGTTGTAATAAGAAGAAGAATTGAGTCAAGTTACCTTGGAAAGAAAGTAAATTTCAGATTATCTAAATTAGACATATATATGTATGTATTTTCAGTACTGGCCAATAAATTGCAGAAAAATTATTTTAGGGTAATGAAAGGTTTGTAACTTCTAGGTGTAAGTAATGTAAATGATGATTTCGTTAAATTTGTTAAAAAGTCAGTGTGAGTATATCATCTATACAGATAAATAAATTTAGGATTTTAATATTAAAGTAATCAAAGTATATTGTTATGCATATGGACGTTAATACGGCACATTTACCTTATTTTTATTTTTGTCTCTTTGTTTGGGTTAATCTCTGAGTTCTGACACGTTTTTATCAATTTTCATAGATGTTTTACTAATAGATGACTGTTTTAACAATAACTTGTACTAGTTTTATTAAAAAATATATAAATTATATAAATAATAATAATAATCTTAGAAATGTTAAAGTCCATTCGAAATTTAATCGAAAAATATATTTTAATTCTGTAAGTATTAATTGTGTTTTAAAATAATATATTGGTATATGAAACTTCAAGTTATGTTACCGAGTTGCTTGTTCAATATATTTTGATATAAACAATAAAAGTGAGGTTATTGTAGAATGATTATACAGTAAAGACATTAATCTCAAATAAGAGTGTCTAATCCAGTTAATTTACAAGCCTATTTGAAGATAATTTTCTCCAATACTTGTAATTAAGCAACCTTTTAAAATCACTTCCGAAAAAAATTGTCTACTGTATTCATAAAAACAAGTAACTAAATAAAAATCTGAAAATATTTTAAAAATTATCAAGAAATCATATGAAAGATACTATTAAAGTATTACAAAAACTAAAACTGCCGAAAATATAACAGAAAGTACCTAAAATAAATTTAATGCTTAACAAATATCATAAAAATGATTCTCAAAAATAAATGTTTGCAAATTAATAAAGATACGAACGTTACTAGAAAATGGGGACGCTATTGGAAACCTTCGTTTTGTAGCACAGAGAGATAACGAATTATTACAGTTTAAGGACAGACGTGAAACTTTATAAACGAAGGTCTCACACGAAATTATTATTACGTTGGAAATTAAACGGGGAGCATCACGATAAGAACGCGTCGGAGTAACTTAAGTCTTAACACAGCAGGAGAAATAACTATACTCATGTATAAAGATTAACATAAAAAATAATGATTAGTATAAAGGAAAGTATTATGAAGTTCGATTACAGTTTTCTAAACAGTAATTCAAAAACAAAATCTATATCCTTACCGCAAAGTAAAGTCGTAAAATTAATTTAGCATGTTTACTAAATACTTTATGTTATTATTATTAGATTTTTGTTATTTGTATATTTATTTTGATATGCTTTTATTCAAATATAATTTCGAGTGTGGTTGTACGAAAAATGATAAATGAATTTCGTTAAATAAAGATGTCACGTATTTTAAACAAGTCAAAAAAATTATTAAAATCTCTCTGTGTCAAGGCTTGTCGAGGGTAAACGGTAACCATAAAAAAACTCTTTACAAATAATCGTCGTTCAATTATTTATAAATTCATAATATTATCATTCTTTGCACCAAAAATTACGAATAAATTTAAAACGAGACAAAACAAACATTTCTTTAATTCCATACAATTAGAAATGAAATCTTTTAAACATTTTCAAACAAATATAGAATTATGAAGAGATATGGCGAAAAAAATTATCAATTTCAACATTCATTGTCAAACAATTTAAGACTTATTTATTTAATATATAAAGTATAAGAAATCCACGACACCATTTATCACAATTCATATAAATCTTAAACAATTAAAACATCTGATAATAAATGATTGTAATGTAACGTGGTATCAAAACTATTTGTAATATAAACAGGCAAATACTCACACCGGTAATGAAACGTTCTTACACATTTAAAATAACAATATTATATCAATAATATAAAATAAAAGCGACGAACGTACGTCTCGCGACACACTGACTCGACTGACTCGGAACGAGTTTAAACGTGATCAAAAGATCGCCACACTAAAACATATGTACATCTTATAATCCTCATCAAATACGACTGATAATTTTTAATATACTATAACCGTTATATGCTAAAACATTTTACTACAAGCTAACTGTTCTTTCAACATATATCGCACTCAGTACTCTGTACGGTAATGTACAAAAGTTTAAATCGTTAACATCAATTCTTTCAAGTAAAACAACGAAATTGTTTAATGTTTCACGTAATGAGGTAATATCCGCATTATACTTATCAGGTTGTAAGGCAAGATATGAAGATTCAGAGCAATATATGTATTAAACTTGCATATGGATACGTGCATGCTTGTATACAAGGTCGAGTGTGTGACGTGAATACTCAAAGAACAAGAGTTCTCAGTTAAATCGACAAATAATTTTAATGTATTTTAAATGTTAACTCCATATAAAACAACTAAGTAAAATCCTATAAAGACGAAATTTTCAAAATGAGGAAGTTTTCTTTGCAAAATTTGTTTGAAATTTTTTTCTGTGGGAAAACCTCTAAAAAAATGTTTACTTCCGTTCTATTTGCGTTATTTTACTTTATTTGATATTTTATCTTATCAATGCTTTTTCTTTTCTAATGTTATTGTACTGTAATTATACTTATATGTACAGTGAACGTCTTCCCTTTAATTTAATCAAGAATTTTTTAAGAAAAATTCAATAAATTTTTCATAAAGAAGGAACACGCTAGCTCAAACTACTAGTCTTATTTAAGTCTTCTAAGAATAGTAGACATGGCATAGGTAACTCAAGAGTTTTGGAGTCTTGGAGCAATCAGCCTCACTTATGTATTGTATATTTACTTTTGCTCATGCTTTGCCAAAAACTTGGAAGGATAACACAAATTCAATTTGTCGAAATTTCTTAAAACCAATACAGAAACGAAAATAAACAACGAAAAGAAAATGTCTGTTGTAGAGTCAAGGGCAGGAAAATGCAATTCCAGGAGTTAATTAGTGGACTTAACTTATCTAAGTGGTCAAAAACCATTTTAACTTTTGAAATATCTTCGAGATTTAAAGTGAGGTCAAATAGCAGTTGAGAGTTTAGACCCTTGTAAAGACATGCCATTAGCAATACAAATATTTCTATAAGTGTCCGATCTTAAAACCCTGAAAATCAAACAGATATTGTAGGCAGCGATATAAAGACTACCCAAACTATGAA